TGTCCTGTTCAGCTTCTCCGCTTGGAATGACGAAGTTACATTCAAGGGCGCTTGAAAGCGCACCCGCGCCGACGTTGAACGTCAAGGAAATGGGTCTCGCAGCCGGAGGCCTGATCACACAATCAATCGAAGCCGATCCATACCCTGCAGATGTGTGGGATATCGAGGCCTCGGTGATGATGAACCTCACAATCCTGGACATTGAGTCGTTCGCTGCGCTCACCGGCCAGCCGGCTCCGAACACACCTGTCGACGCCAAAACCTATGCTCAGCACGGTTATCCCTTCTTCGAGCTCTGGGGCGAAGAGAAGAGTGGTATCAAGGGCGAGTTTCAGGAGGTCAAGAGCGTGGCCCAGTTGATGCAGGAGGCGGCTAACGCTGATGGCAAGGCGTACTCAGAGGAGGAGACAGTCATGTTCAAAACCTTGACCATTGGTCGCACGCCCTTCAGAAGCACTTTCCGCCCAGTAGAGATTCTTTGCAAGGAGGTTCAGGGTCTGCATGTTTGAAGGGTATGAGAAGAGGGCTAGACAACGCATTAACTAGGGCCACGTATGAAATAATGCAATCACAAAACACTTCGTCGAAATACCTTTCAGTTTTCACAACTCTTGTTTGAGGCGCCATGTGTCTTTCTTTTGGTAAGTTGGTAGTTCCTTCGCCTGAATAATGGGCAACGGATTCCTCGGTGGTGTTGGCGGTGGCCTGGTGGGTTAGTTCCGACATCAGCATTCTCTCCCGCAACAACTAACCCGCGAGGGCAGTTGGAAGTCCAACTACCTACCTGATCAACAATTTTCGCAAAACCTTATCATTCTGATGGGTTCTTGTCGGAACTCACCCCTCACTAGCTGCAGCCAAGCTGCGGGAAGCAGGCTGATGGAACACGATGATGCACCTCTATGCTCAATGCTTGGCTCTCGTCTTCCTATCGACTCAGCACTCGACCAGGGCCTGCTTCGTTTTCAATATTCCCCTCTGATTTTCGCCGACGTACCCATTGTTTTTGGCCAATTGATATCAGCTATAAGAATCTGTCCTCTTCAACCCCGCACGAGACAACGGGTAGGAAGTTGAGTAATGCCGTGTCGCAGTTTCATGATCCCCGAAGAACCCGGACTTGATTGATGCTGTTTACTATTTGGCCCCGAATGAATATTAGTAATCCGACAGAACCTGGGGTTCAATCGTATCTTACAAAGCTTTGCTCGCGTCTCTCGGGTCATATGCAACTGTTGACCGAGACGACAAGGTTACTTACTTGAGGTTTGGCGTGACGGCTATTTGCACGGGACTTCTGTAGCTCGGAAAGTCCCTTTCGCTGTATATGTAGTTCGCCACGTCTCCTTCCGCAACTATAGATCTCTGCTACGGAAAGGTACTAAGAATTAGACCAGATCAGCCGCCATGGACCTGTCACAGCTCACCCAAAAGACCCTCCAGGTCTCACGGGGATTCACCTACACCTACTACACATCCCCTCCACAGAAGTCCAAGCCCACCCTCGCTCTCTTCCACGGCTGGCCAGACTCAGCCAAACTCTGGGCAGGCCTGATCAACGATCATCTCCTCCCGCACGGCTACGGCGTGCTCGCCCTCGACTGCCTCGGCTATGGCGGTTCATCCAAGCCCATCGACCCGAAGGCGTACGGCTGGCAGCATATGACGGCCGACATCGTCGAGATCCTCGACGCCGAAAACCTCGACCAGGTCATCTCTCTGGGCCACGACTGGGGCAGCGCCCTCGCCCAGCGCTTCTACAACTTCTACCCCGCCCGGGTCTCGGCGCTGGTCATGGTGAACGTCACATACATGCCCCCGACGGGCGACTTCGACCTCGACACGGTAAACAACATCACCCGCCAGGTATTCGGCGCGGGCCTCTTTGAGTACTGGCACCTCTTCGCCGCGGACGACGGGCCCGGGCTGATGAACCGCAACCTCGAGGCCGTGTACAGCGCGGCGTTCGGCGACCCGGCCTCTTGGCGTGACACCTTCACCAGCCCCGGCGGCATGCGCAGGTGGGTGACGGAGGGCAAGACGCAGCCCACGCTCCCGTACGCCACGGCCGAGCACAAGGCGGACTTCATGGAGCGCCTCGGCAAGGAGCCCGGATTCGAGGCGCCGCAGTGCTGGTACAAGTCCATGGTCTCCAAGGTGCAGAATGAAGCGGACAAGTTGATCGCCGAGGATGCCGTGGCGGTGAAAGTGCCGGTATTGTACTGGGGCGGCGAGCAGGATGCCGTATGCAGGCCTACGGGTCTCCAGCCGAGTATCGAGGCTGGGCTTTTGCCTCGTTTGAAGGTTGTGACGAGGGAGGGTGGGCATTGGGCGTTGCTTGAGACGCCGGCTGTGTTTGGTCAGGATGTGCTGGCTTGGCTGGGGGAGACTTTCACGGAGGGTGACAAACCTGCGCCTGTTGCTAAGTTGGCTTAGAACATGCGATTTTCATGTTGTGCATCTTCATCGCCGTGACGGGCGTGGTTGGCTTCGGTGCACTGTCTCGTGTTGTTGGTTGAGGTCTTGAGAGGTGATTGTGGAGGTTTCGGCATGCCAACTTTCTAGACAGGCCTGTTGGTCCCGTGATTTGACGCACAACTTGGCCTATCGGATTATTATCATTCAGAATTAGCCCCTCTCTTTCACACGTGTGGTTGATAATACTACCGCAGATTACAATTCAACAGAGAGCAATGACTGGTTATGCTCACAGTCAGACCGCTGGCAAATTTCCGTACCGGCCCCTGAGCCCACTAGAGAAAGAGATCCGCCTCATTGAGGTTGATCCTCTCCATAAAATCGATACACACTCGCCGGTCCGCTGTCGCTTGAAGCACGCCAGTCTGTACACTAATCCTAACTACATAGCACTCTCTTATGCTTGGGGAGACCCAACAGCCACTCGCGCCATCATCCTAGACGGACGAAACGTTGAAGTCACTGAGAATTTGGAGTCGGCGCTGAGGCATGTGGCGAGCAGCTTTGGGAACGAGGAAGAACCAGGACCGACACTATGGGTCGACGCTATCTGCATCGACCAGCAGAACGAGTCTGAGAGGACGCAGCAAGTCGCCCAGATGGGCGCCATCTTCAGCACGGCGACAAGAACCATGATATGGCTGGGACCGGCCGACGAGCATAGCGACCTTGCTATCGAGACGCTGCACACGCTGGGGAGGAGAGGAGTAAGGCTCCACGACCACGTCCCCAGCTGGACCAATTTTCCATTTTCCGACACCCCATCCACTCGCCGAGTGATCAGAATCCAGAAAATGCTCGACGGAATTCTGACCGACCTCTCTCGAGGCGGTTCGACAAAACTAGCGGCAATAAGTTCGCTTTTCGGCAGACCCTGGTTTCGGCGAGTCTGGGTCATTCAGGAGCGTGTGTTGTCGTCCGATACATTTGTTTGCTGCGGCGATGCAGATATTGTTTGGGGCAGGTTCTTTTGGGGCTTTTGGCTCCTGTGCGGCCTACGAGACTATCTCAACATCGTCGGCACCGGTGTCGGGCGGCAAGACAGTTCTGCGTTGGCGCTGTTTCTCACGACGGCTCTGGACAGAGTGACTCCAGTCGCTTTTACGAGGTCAAACTCGTCGTTCTTTACGTTGTTTTCGTTGTTGTCCAGAATGGCAACCACCCCTCAGCAACAGCTTCAAGCCTCGGACCCACGAGATTATGTCTTTGCGCTTCTGGGACTTATTGACCCAGAAAAGAGCCCGTCGATTGTTGCAGATTACAGCAAAGACTGGAACACGGTGCAAGTTGAAGTTGCTACAGCTTGCTTGAGCTTCTACGGCCCGAGACTACTTTCGTTTGCGGGTACATGTCAGGAAAACCGAACAGCAGCTGCGAACGTACAACGGGCTCCTTCTTGGGCGCCAGACTGGTCATCACAATACATACCGCAGCCTTTGAGCATCACCTCCGAATTTGTTGTTCGGGGAGGGAACCTACGAAGTGCGTACTCTGCTTCGGCAGACTGTTCGCAGAGTTTATCGGGATGCTTCATCTCAGACAAGCAGATATCCCTAGACGCCGTGCATGTGGACGACGTCGGACAGGTGGGGTTACCATTTGTTGAAGCGGACAATCTCGCAGACGATTCGGCGCGTATAGCTTCTCTCGCATCGTGGATCGAAGGCCTCGAAGTTTTGTTAGGAGAGGCAAATGAGGTATACACTACTCCGGCGGACGTGCAAGAGGCTCTGTGGAGAACCCCGATTGCAGATAGGGCATATGCGTATAACTGGGAAACGGAGAGAGCGGGTGAAAAGACCTTTCAAGCGTACCAAGCTCTTAGGAGCGGCATGATATGCCAAGGCGTGAAGTACGCCAATATTGCGAGCGTCAAACTACGCAGAAGACGGCCTTTTAGATGTATGAAAGGGTATATTGGACTTTGTCCTTTGGAATTGATGGACGGAGACTCCGTGTGGGTTATACTTGGTGCAGATGTGCCTTTTATTCTTCGTCCTGCTACCGATGGTGGGTTTTTGGTGGTTGGCGAGGCGTATGTTCATGGCATCATGGATGGAGAGTATGTGAATTCGAGGATCCACCCACTGCAGAGAATTGAATTGGCTTGAAACTGAAATTCGGCGTCTTCTTGGATTTGCACCGACTTGAAGTAAAACTCACCCTTGACTTTGATCATTTCATGGAGGGCACGGCACCTATGGACGACTTTCAACAAATGATGGTCGGCAAGATATCCGAGGTCGGTCTAGACGTGTTATGCTCTTCACGCACATAAAGATATTTCATAGTAGTTAGAAAAGCGTACAGATAATAGGTCATCGCGAAATTAAGGCAATTTATTTCTAGGCAGCAGGTTATTCGGTAGTTCCAACAACCATGAACCGAAGACTATTGGCACAGTGTTTACATTGAGTATAACGGAATTTTGACACTATGTGTTGGCATGCACAACCACACTTCTTCTCGTTAGGCAGCACTCACATTTCTCAACTTCTCCATCGCCAAGTTCCACCGCCAACATGACTATGCAAATCATCTCCGACCTACACTTGGAGTCGCCAAAAGCCTACGACATCTTCGAGATTGTTCCCAAGGCTCCTGTCTTGGCCTTGCTAGGAGACATTGGCAATGTTGCCGCTCACAAGGACGACTGTCTCGCCTTCTTCACCCAACAGCTTCGCCAATTCCGCATTGTCCTCTTCGTCCCCGGAAACCACGAGGCGTACGGATCTGACTGGCCCAAGACCCTCGACATTCTTCACGCATTCCAAGAAGACGTGAACAACGACCCGTCCTTGGGACAATTCGTCTTGTTGAACCGAACGGTCTTCCGAGTCCCTGACACAGACATCGTCATTCTGGGATGCAGCCTTTTTTCTCACGTCCCTCCTGAAAGTCGCGACAATGTGTCTATGGGACTCAACGACTTTTTCCAGATTCAAGATTGGGATATCGACGCGCATAACAAGGCACACGAGCAGGACCTGGCCTGGCTCAACGAACAAGTCGGTGAGCTCGAGCAGTCGGATGCGAGGGTTATGATCTTCACACACTGGAGCCCCACGAGAGATAGTCGTTCCCTCGACCCGAGGCATGCATCCAGTCCCATAACGCCGGGATTTGCGACAGATTTGTCAGGTGAAGCATGCTTCAATAGTGGGAAAGTGAAAATATGGGCGTTTGGGCACACCCATTTCAACAGTGACTTCACTGTTGAACGGGGTGGGGAAGCCGAGCCGCTGAGACTTGTCACCAACCAGAGAGGCTATTACTTTTCCCAGGCTACGGGTTTTGACGCAGAAAAGTTATTAGAGCTGGAAGATAAGACTCATTGACTGTGTCGGAGGTAAGGGATCTTGTCACCATAGCTAGCCACAATTTCTACTTTGTTTGACTTAAGCTCAGGGAACACTTCTACAGTATGCTTGCGATCAAATTTCCCACCGGTTCGTGATAAGTGATTGACTGATCGAGAGGTGGCATTCAATTGGCGCATGCTTTCATCCTAAATATCTTTCATACTTGGCTGCAGAGCACCGAGGGGGTGATCCATGATCCAAAGACTACTGATCAGACACTTTATTCGCTTGGTTTACGTGTTCCCCTTATTTCAATTATATTGCAAATGTACTCAGCACAAGTTATTGAGACAAACAAACAATCGTCCTACTCATCCTTCTGACAGCTGCATCTACGACTCATAGAACCCTTGGGAAATCAATGGACGTCGCGAGGTTCATGGCGCAAGGCTGAGCTCTCGCAAGATTCTCTCGAAATCTAACGACACCGAACAATAGCGTTTATACGTAGGATAAATATTGGATACCGGCGATCAGGACCACCGGAAGATAGGTACTAAGAAAGAACACGTCATGCCAGAAATTAGTGGTTGTGTCCTTCCTTCTAAGAGGAATTTGCCAGGGACTAGCGCAGAGTTGCGGTGGAAGCTTAGAAACGTTTCAAGATGGAACATTCTGGTCGTGTGGTTGTAAGACACCGCGGCTTGCGTGGCTTTATACTCGTCTTCGCTATATTCGCCTTCGCATAGGTCTAGCGTAGCATAGAGGGATATTTTGGTGTTGCTGCCCTAGTCCAGCTTTTATAAGGTTCAGGTTCTGCGGTTCTAATGAAATTCAGAAAAACAATGTAGTGAGAGCCAGAGTTATGACTTCGCAATGCAGGAATGTTATGAAACACCGCCGAAAAGCTTAATTGAGAAGCCAAATTATAAAGGCAGCTAGATATCTGAGAATAAACATGACTCTCCATCATTGTGATACAGGGGCGAGGACAGCATCAGGCGAATGACCTCATGCAAGGTTTGTCAGCGTGAGATGATAGTCGATGAGTGGAGCTAGTGGATGTAGACACGAGAGAAAATCTCACGGGCACGATTTCTTATGCTTGCAAATACCACTTGAGCTTATGTCCTTCATGTTCTGTCGACATTATCTTTAGAGCAGTATTACTTTTGCTTTTCACTCTTGATCTAGAGACCTGGAGCCTGAAATTGATGGAAATACAAATATGGGTAGACTGAAGACCCCTATTTTTACAGAGGCAAGGCTTGTGTGTCGCATAGCAGCCGAAATGGCGAGAGGTACAGAATGTTGTACGAATTCTGTGCCTGAAGACCAAACGGGTGACGTTCTATCTCAACGCACAAAGAATTTACGTGGATCTACCTTGAAGCATGCCGTTCCCTTCGATTCATCACGAATATATGCAGAAAGGTAGAAACAAAGGGCACTAGCAAACGACATGTAATAAGCACTGTCGCATCAGCATCGCGTACAACAATGAAAACCTATCGGCGTGTTCTTCGCTGTTTACCTGTTTGATCAACCATAACCTAACGCAACGACCTTGCAATTGTGTTCTGATAAAGCTGCGAGAGTAGTCCCGCACCTTTTATACTTTGAATTGTGTTGATGTTGGTGCTGCCTTTGGATTCCCCACACATTGCGAGCTTGATTATGCCTACATCCTGAGCCAAGTATGAAGCAAATAAATAACCTCAGCGGATCATAACTGCTATATCCAGAATTACTTCTTTCCATCTTTCTAATTGGTAGCTCGGAGCAAACGTGCCCACGGAGCTCAGAATAGTAGCAGCTTGCGAAGAGACAGACCGGTCACAAGTTTGTGCGAATACGGCCAGTGACATAAACACAATACCACAGCGAACGACAGCGACGGGAAAGACAGAACCGGAGAAAGGATGCTGCCTAACCCATAATAGTACCGACCTCATAAGCCTTGCATTTCAGATGTAATTCTGGAGATGCTAAATAAACCGACCTACAACTTAATTGGCTTTCCTAGAGATCACAGAACGTATCAAGTTTAATATATATAAAACAAGACGAAGGCGAGCCAACTTCAAGCACACACACCGATAAGCGCGGTAGATGTGATCATTCCGTCTTAGAGGTGAAGATCTCATTGGTGATCTATAAATCATAGGCATGGCATGAGACTTTCGAGAGACTTGGAAAGACGCGATAGAATGGTTCTGTGTCTGGACGTATTTCTCCAGCAGGTTAGAGAGCCTATCCTAGCACTGAAAAGCGAGTCTATAGACCCGGCACCTTTGCACAGCGCTTCAACTGCCCTTTGCCCGCGTCCGTCTCTGTCCTGGTTTAATATGACTGGATAGTAGAAAAATACTCAATAAGGAGAAACGTCAGTAACTCTGAACGGCAAGATCTTGAGGCATTGACGGACAAAGACCAACTTGCAACCCATACTCAAAGACATGGTCACCCTACGTTGTCACGGAAGGCCAGATACATCGTGTGAGTCTCGTTCGAACCGCAGGTTTCAGACTTTTATATCGCTCCAGTCGGAGTCTTCTTGGGAGCGACAAGAGCAGATGCCACGTTCAATCTTTGCCAAGTCACGAGAATCCCAGGAACAAAGGGCGATGATGAATTAAAAATGATCTTTTGAGGTATGCACGGGGAATCCTCTATCCAAACACTTCATAATCCCAACTACGGTATCGTAACCATGTCCGACGCCGCAGACTGCCACCCAAGGCTTAACAGAATAAAACACAAACCAAGCCCAAAGGGCCACAATGCCCACCTATGTTCAATGCCATCAATGCCTCTTCTCCAGATCACTGGCAAGGTTCATGTGCATCAATGCTTGAGCAGTCCAGTCGTCGTCTTGGCCGCCGTCCTTGCTCTTCCACAGATCCATGCTTTCACGTCCGTCGACGCCGGGAAGATTGATCTGAGGTGGCGGTCCTCCCGGTCCTGCTCTCGAACCCGGCTTCGCTCCAACTGGCGGCGGTCCCTCGTCACCACCGAATTGGTTAAAGTCGGGCAGGTCGTACCCGTGACCTTGCTGCGCGCTCGCCTGACCCTGGTACATTGTACCTTCGTCGCCCGGCATCTCTGCGATTTGGCCCTGGGAAGGCAGGGCAGCCATGTGTCCGTGCTGCTGGTCGAACTCTTCCTGCTCCAGAATCTGTGGTGCGTGCTCGACGTTGCGAAGGCTGGAGGAGCCAGGCGCCAGGCCACCCATACTGCGTTGACTGCCGATAGAAGCGCGGTGCGGATCTGGTCCGTCCTGAACGCCAGGGTCGCCTCCCATGCTTGCAGGATCCATGTCCCGAATGGCAAACTGCGCTAGGGTACGCATCTTACGGGTAACCCATCCGGCGAGGATCTTGCCGCGCTGCTTCTCGCCGAGGCGGGATCGGGGGAAGTCGCCCTTGTTGACAAAGGCTACGATGTCGACAATGATTTGATGCTCGTTGAGGATGGCGTTGACGATGACTGGGACGACGGAACCGAGATACGCCTTGCGGGTAATTTCGGCGAGTACGACAACGAGACCACCGGCTTGGAAGACGGCACTGCGTTTGTTAGCACTTGTACAACACGGGGTTCGTGCACATGACTTACCATCCACCGCTGACAATGTTTCGGTGGCATCGTTCCACAGATGCTTCAATGTCCATGGGGAAGTGACTCAAACCGTTAATCTCGAATGTTTCACCGATATTGCCGAGAACGAACAAGACCTGCATATCAACCTGCGCACCTCCAGGACCAATAGGCCTGCTCACGTTATGCAGGAAACCCAGGTCACCAGTACGAACGTACTGAATGCTCGGATCACCATCCACTGTCCGGCCGTCGAAACGCTCGGCGTCAAAAATGTCCTTGGAGCCATAGAAGCTCTTAACGCAAGCCTCCGAGTCCACCCAGATTTCACCGTACTCGCCATCGTGGCAGAGTAGTCGGCTCTCGGGATTGACGATGGCAATTTGTGTTGATACAGGGACCATGCCGGAATCCTGAAGGAGCAAAGCCTTGGAGTCTTGTTCGGGATCCACGGGGTAGATCAATCCACGACGCAGAGCCTTAGTGTCCAACCAGAGCTCGATAGGTTCGATGCACATGTATGATCTCGACGCGATCATAGGGTTAAGTACATGCGAGTAAACAGTGTTGATGGCGGTTCTGTCGAGGCCGGTAGCGGCGAAGTGAAGCCGTACCTTCTGGAACACGTCCACGCGTGGCCGACTCTCGGCCGAGATCATCATGTTCTTGAGCTCATGGAGGGTGAAACCCTTGCCCTGCATCATGGCCATGGCATGGTCCAGCATTTGCGGGGTAGCGTAGGTGTCCTTTATCTTGTACCTCGAAAGCGTGACGAATAGTGACATGGGATTTTGGGCGAACTCGACAGGTGAAAGGAGGTACGTCGGTGTTCCGATGTAGATACCCATCAGGCACGAGTGGATAAATCCGAGACCAGTGGTGCTGCGAACGCACCCAAGAACAGGGCGCGAGCTTGTCATCTGGCACGTCTCCTTCTGGACCTTGCACATGCCCAGAATTGTATCGTGGCCGAGTTGAACCGCAATACGGCGCTGGTCAGGCGTCCAATATGTCCAAATGATGACAGCATAACCCGACTGGATCCAGGCGGGTTGCATCATGATGCCGTTGTCTCTCAATCCGCTGCTCTGCTTAGGCGGCTTGGTCGTGTTGTAGTAGTGGGGTATCGGTGTCTTCAAAATGGACGCGGCCTGCTTGATATGGTTCGCAACAGGCTTGAGCTTGACGAGGTGGTCGACATCTTGGTTGACC